AATGCCTAATCCCCTACTCCAGACTAAAAATTGGAAGTTTGGAATGAGTAAGAAACAAAAAAATCATCTTTTTTATAACAAAAATGATGAAAAATCTCATAGTTAGTGCAACAATTTTTCCTTCCATGAAAGTTTTTTTCAATTGATTGATAAAAAAACAATGCCTAAATATAAATATGGGCTTTGAATATGAAAAGGAGACAACTCTATGAGCCAATCGGTAAAGGCTGGATGGCTAGGATCGAAGCAGGAACACAATATGGCAGACTCATTCTATGATAAATTTTTATCATACAACCCCTCCTCTTCTTTCTTTCCTTTTTTTTTTTTTTTTTTTTTTTTTTTTCAGCTAGATGAAGCCTTCATGTCAGCAAAATTTGGGGTCCACAGGAACCCTATTTTTCTCAAAATCCTAATATTATTAGCCTGCAAGTTTGGGCCGTTTGTCTCTTTTCCCCTCAGTCATGGCTGTTCCGGCCTATAAAGTGCGATAGGCTGATCGGCTCATGTAACCATTTTCCAGAAATAAATATAATTTTAGATAAGAGTACAGGGCATAAATTCATCAAAAATATAGTGAAAATCAAAGTCTATTACGTTTGAATTGCATAAAGAAGGGACTAGATACTGCAGGACCGTTTACCTTTGGTACAAGTCATAATCACTCTTAGCCATCCACTCTTAGCCATCTGATGTGAAATCACGCGGTTAGCCATCTGATGTGAAATCACGCGGTTAGGGGTGTGCTTCACAAATTTTGTGAAATACCATTTTTGAACAATGAATTAGGTATATAGCACAGTCCCCCATCTAATGGATTTCACATCTAACGGTTAACAGTAATTGTGACCCCCTCGTAACATAGATATACAAGTCTTATCGTCATATCCATGTTTATTCTATTTTTTGCAAATATAGATATTTTTTATATTTTTTCCTCTCCAAGTTTCTTAAATTTCTCCAATTATTATTATTTTTTTATTTTGAAAAGAAATTTTAGGCCATTACCTGTAAAAGCAATAAAGTCTGGTCTCTCTTCTCTCACTATTCTTCTAAAGAAATCCGAAGTGTTAAGATCGGTACAGTAATGAAACTCAAAGGGCAAAACGTCTCTGCATCTGCTCATTACCCCATTTGCAAAATGCATATCAGCAACCTGCGCATTCATCAAAACGCTATCCAGTGAATATTTCAGTGAAATTTCACTGAAATTTTAAGGATAAAAAAATTCTCACTGAAATTTTTGAAGATCTAAGTAAGAACAATAACAATTGCTAAAATTGTTAGCAACTTCTTTCCATGGTTTGAAGTTTTCAACAACTCAAGCAGAGGAAATCAATTCTGCTAAAAAAATTCAAAGGTCAAAAGCAAGATGAAAATTTAAAATCTCAACAAAAAATAATTGAAATCTACTGAAATTTTCAATAACTGAATCAAAGAAAATGAAATCTACTGAAAGTTCAAAGATCAGAGCAAGAAAACCGTAATGTCCTCATCTTTTCAAAGCTCAAACAGAGATACGAATCCAAGGAAGCAAAATCCACTGAAAGTGTCAAAACATCAAAGCAAAAAAACCAAAATCCACAGAAACTTCGGAGCTCAAAAAAAAAAAGGGAAATCTATTGAAAGTTTCAACAACTGATGCAGACAAGAAAAAAATCTGATGAATTTTTCATAGCTTAAAGCAGATAATCTACAACCTCCAAAGCAGCATAATGAAACAATGCCACAACTTTCATACCTCAAAGAGAGAAACGAATCCAAGGAAAACGAAATGCTACGAATCTCTCAAACCGCAAAGCATAAAAACAAAAACCCGTGGAAACTTTCATCAATTGAAGCCCAAAAAAATACGAAATCAACTGAAATTCTCAGAGGAAGAAGGTGATAATAAACCTGCAGAATCTTGAAGGTGCCTTGCGAGTTGAAACGAAGGGGAAGAGTGGCCGATCTTTTGATCTTGACGGCGTGATTCCCTATAAAAAGACGCCCAAAAATCGTATGAATAACGAGTAAAGTTGCATAGATGAAGAGAAGGTAAATGAGAAGGTGGAGTATAGGTCTCGGATCGCATTTTCTGAGCTTATTTCTACACATTTGATTGTTTGATTTTTAGAGAGAGAGAGAGTTTGATGGTTCGAAAATCAGACAGAATATGGGTTAAAATGAAGAATCCATTCCCCCGAGAAACTAGGAATCTACGTTAACGAAAGCGCGAAAGATTTCGTGGTCCCGCGTGAGCAAATACACTAGGGTTGGCAATGGACTCGGACCCTATGTGGAACCCGAGAGGTAGACCCGATCCTGATATGCGTAGGGGTCTTGGATCCGAATACTATTCGACTCCAGGTTTATTTTCCGGTTCCAAATAAGCGAAATATATTTAAATATAATTTAATATATCTTTGCATTAAGTGAATTTTCATTTTTTATGTATACTCAATCTTTGCAAAATCGAACCGGAATAGTTAATCGGACATGAGTCTGGGCATGGCCTAACCAATAAATCGGCTGATTCAACCGCTATAATCGGGCAAGTCCTAGGCGGTAAAAAAAATGTTAAAAAACATACAAAAAAATCTATTAAAATAAGAAAAAATATAAAAAATGATTAAAACAAAACACTTTCAAATCAAGTTGAAAATTAATGAAAAAAAATGGATTTTAACCCATGTTATATTTTCCATGGGCTACTTTTAAAATTTTCTAAAAAAGATGAAAAAATATAAAAGTGAGTATTAATGACCAAAACAATTTTTAATCTTTAACATAATGTAAAGAATATTTAAAAATGCATTACAAATCAAATTCCTTATTTTTGAGAATTTATATACATTTTTTTTAAAAAAAAATTCCGGTTGATCCCCTAACTGCCCAAAACCGGAACCAGCCAGTTCCAATCTTATCGGGTGGTTTGCAGTTAGATTGGGCAATTCTATGAACAATGGTTTAATTGCAGCAATTTATTTTTTTGATATATTAATCATACAAGTATATTGTATTCTTAAGAAAATAATAATCTCTTGGCACTAAATATATTTAATACTATTAATTTCAATAATAATTATTGACTTATTATAAAATATATACTAATATAATACTACAATTCTCCCACGTTTTTCTCTCTATCTCTCTCTTCACTAATATTCTCAAGTACCAACCTCTCTCCTAATAAATCAAATTTCCTAAAACAATTATCCTATCTTCTCTCTCCTAATAAATCTCCCCTTCTTTCTACGATTTTCTGTATCTTCTCTCTCCTCACAATTATTCTCACGTAAATCCACTCTCTTTCTTTCCTAATAGATCAACTTTTAAAAAAGTTATCTACCTCTCTTCCACATTTCAAAATTCTCTCTTTATAGCTTCCATTTACACATATTATACTTTATTTTTTTTATATTTCAATAAAAACTTTAAATTATATTGTAGAAATAACAACCTCAAAATACAAGTTGCATTAGCAAATAAAAAATAAAAAATTATAGTATCACTATAATTAGTAATTGAAAAAAGAAAAGAAAAGAAAGCTCTTCCGATTTGCTTTTATTTATTTATGTTTTGCTTTTTCTATTCCTTTCATTTTCTATCTGTACTTTTTTTTATTTATAATTTTCAAATTTCAAAATAAAATTTCAAAAAAAGAAAAAATATTTTTACCATCATAAAAGGAGGAAAAATAAATAATACCAACACTATGATTAATTATGATTGTAATAGATACATGTTTATTATGGTTTTATTATATGTATCACGTAATATATTTTTGTATTTTCATATTATCTAATTTTTTAAATAATTTTTACTTAAAATGAATAATATATGTATTTTGTAATTAAAAATAATTAATAACATATTAACAATACAAATTATATAAATTAATAATATAGTAGAACATATAATGCTAAATAAAAAAAAGAAAAAGATAATTTCTTTATTGTTTTTCATTTTTGCATCTTTAGTTTTGTTAATTTATCAAAATAATACTAACTTATAAATAACTAATATATATATATATATAATATAATATAAGTAAAATTAATTTAGTGACTAATATAAGTAAAACCAACAAAAATATAATAAGGAAATTTTTGGGCTTTAATTTGACCCATAAGTAAGGAGAATGCATTAAATTACAATAAAAAAAAAATATTTTTGTATTCACTAAATTGTTTCTCAATTATTTTTATCAAATAAGACAAAGTAGGTTTTTTTTCTCTCTAGAATTATGTAAAGATGGATCTAGAAGCTCTCTCTCTATAATCGAAAGTCATTTTAAAATATTAATTAGAATAAAAATTTATTTTTATAATTAATAATCAATCTCTTGTAAAACGAACGTGCATATCACTAGTTAGCCATAATGCCTCTATTTTGGATTTTGGATCTTGAAAATGATATTTTGATATTTTTGCCCTTACATTTGCATGTTCTGAGTTCCAAATAAAAAATATGTATTTTTCATTCACATATGAGCCGTGTAAAAATATTTTCACATGATAAAACTTCCCCTTGCAAGTTCTGTGTTCCAAATAAAAAATATATATTTTTCATTAAAGGCACATTTGATTCGTGTAAAAATATGCTCTAAGGTCTCTCATTCTCGGCGCTCTTTTAGAAATAAAAAAATATAAAAAAATGATCAAATAAGCCCAATAAAAAATTTCTTAGACGTCATGGTACAACGTATGGCACAAGCAAGACCAGACTCACGGTTTGGTTTGAGAACTTTTTAATCAAGAAGTAAATGATTTTATTGTATGCTTCTAATTATATATTTTTCCAAATTTATATAGTTGATAGTTAAATTATTTGGATAAATTCTCCTAAATTTAAGGCATCTCTCTTTCTCTGTCTCTGTGATTCTCTAGATACACATTGATCGATACCTAAATTTAATATATCTCATTGCCCCATTCATTCCTGTTCTTGCTGAAGCCAATTTCCAGGCAGAAGAAAAAGAATGTACTATAGACAATAGTTTGAAAAGAACCGAAAAA